AACGAAACAGAGGGAAGTATCGATAGCCACAGTCTGGGAAAGCCATAAGGTATTCATAAGAGGAATCTTGATTGCGGCAGGAGCAAGGAAAAAAAAGGAAAGAAGAGAGAGGGTCAGTGGGCTATTAAAAGAAATATTGGATTTAGAGCAGATACATAAAAAGAAAATACAAATGATACGAGACAGAAGTTATTGGATAAAAAAGATGAACTAGAGAGGTTGATGGATGAGGAGAAGAGAAGAGTATACAACAGGGTTATGAACGAGAGATATAGATGGGGGGACAGACCAGGAAGATATCTAATGAGAGCTTTGAATAAAAAGAAAAATAGGAACTATATAGAAAAGATCAAAAGCTCAAAGGGGGAGTTGGTCCACTCAAATAAAGAGATTATTAAAGTGTTTACGGAGTATTATAAAAAGTTATATAATATTAGTCCCCAAGGCCCTCTAAAAGAAACTCAAGAGGGAATTAAGAAAAAAAAGATGACATACTTAAAAAATGCGGGATTACCAAAACTAAGTGAAGCAAAGTTGAATTCCTTAGACGCAGAAATTTCCCAGGAAGAAATTAAAACAGCATTAAAAAGCACAGGGGGGGGAAAAGCCCAGGCCCGGATGGTTATACAGTTAAGTACTATAAGAAATTTAGTGAAGTACTGTTACCCAAGCTGGAGAAATATATGAATGCTCTGGGAGGTGGGATGGAAGTGAGGAGAGAATCCCTACAGGCCCATGTAGTGCTTATTCACAAGGAGGGAAAAGATCCATCTCAGTGCTCCAGCTATAGACCTATTCATTATTGAACACTGACACTAAACTATATGCAAAGGTGTTAGCAAAACAGGTTGAGGGACTTGATGCCTGAATGGATACATGGAGATCAGGTGGGCTTTGTACCGGGGAGAGAAGGTAGAGATAACGGCTTGAGAACCCTCATGCTTATCCAGAAAAGTAGAAAAGGGAAAGCCCCGGTGGTGCTCTTGTCGATTGACGCAGAGAAGGCATTCGATAGAGTGGACTGGGGCTTTATGATGGACAACTTAAAAGTCCTGGGGATAGGCGATAGAATGCGAGAGTGGGATAAGTAAATTATATAGGGATCCTACTGCAATCATCACGGTAAATGGGGAGAGATCAGAACCCATTGGAATGTCTAATGGTACAAGACAAGGTTGCCCACTATCCCCCCTGCTATATGTATTGTCACTCGAACCCTTGTTGTCAATAATAAGAAATAGTGGATCGGTAAAGGGAATTCAGATAGAATCCATAGAGCATAGAGTAGCGGCCTTTGCGGACGACTTATTGTTCTATGTGGGGAACCCCCGAATAACTCTCCCAAATATAATGAAGATTCTGAAGGAGTATGGTGAACTATCAAATTTAAAAATTAATCCAACGAAAAACAGAGATCCTGAATATTAATATATCAAAGAACGAAAAAGAAAAACTACAAAAAGAATTCCCCTTTATATGGAGAGAAAAAGAGATAAAATACCTAGGAATAAAACTCACTGCCTCATCCAAGCATCTGTATAGATTAAACTATATCTCTTTGATAAATGAGATCAGGGAAGATTTAAAAAGATTGGAAGGAGGAAATCCATCCTGGATAGGACGTATAAACTTAGTCAAAATGGTAATTATGCCTAAAATACTGTAAAAGATTTCAAATGGTACCAATTTAAAATCCCAGAAGCCTTCTTTAAGATAATGAAAAAAACGCTAACAAGATACATATGGAAGAATAAAAAACCCAGAATAGCATATGAAACATTGAGTAGGACTAAAGAGAAAGGGGGATTGGGTCTACCAGATGTCAAGAGATACTATAAAGCAGGGGTTTTAGCAAGAATATATGACTGGACATTTAACCATAAGGGGGGAAAAGTTGGGTAACAATTGAAAATGATCTAAGTGGCATTAGATTGAACCAGATGATATGGGTTCCACCACAGTTTAGGGGAATCAAAGAAAGCACAAGTATCTACACTCTAAATGTTCTTAGGATATGGGACAATTTACACAAAAAATATGAAATGGGAATTTAATTCTATATTAAGCCTCTCATAAATACTGATTACTTTCCTCGGGAAAAAATAAGATATCAGGGAGATGGTTTAGAAAAGAGGATACCCAACTGAGAGAAGTTTTTGGTGGAGGGGGAATTGAGACCACTTAAAGATTTGATAGAGAATAAGGGAGATATTTTTATTAGAATAGATGAATGGAAATATCATCAATTGAAATGTTTTATTGGAAATCTACCGAAACCCCTGAGAGTAAAACAGGAGTGGAATATGTTTGAAAGGTTGTTAGAGACACGAAGGGATGGGAAGCACGGTATTTCAAAAGTGTATAGAATACTCACAGAATTGGGACACAAACACAAAGCCAATTTTTATCACAAAATGGGGAAAGAGATATGGGAGTGGGGTTTTGATGAAGATAGACAGAGAAAGATGTTTAGACTGATACACGATAATGTGAGTATGAGAGAGGTTGAGGTTAATTATAAGTGTGTAACACGATGGCACATTACACCGAGTGTAGAGCACAAGATGAATGGGGAGAACTCAAATAAGTGTTGGAGAGGGTGTGGAGGGATGGGCACGGTGTTTCACATATGGTGGGAATGTCCGAAAATCCAGGCTTTTTGGAAGATAATAGTCAAATTGATCAAAGAAATAACTGAAATTGACATAGGGTTAGACCCAACGACGTGCCTCCTACACAATGTGGAGACATCAGTAAATAAATATAAAGACTCAGGTATTTGGTATTTCTTGAATGCGGCGAAAGGGTTGATACCTAAGTTTTGGCGGAAGGCTGAGGTACCGAAGGAGGAAGACTGGATTAATAGAGTAAACCAGATAGGTAGAATGGAAAGATCATACCATATACAGGAAGATAAGATGAGAGTTTATTTCAGGAGATGGGAAAAATGGGAAAGAGCAGGATTGAAAGAGAAATATAGGAAAATATGAACTAGGATGTTAGCAAAAAATTAATAAGCCTCAAGAAAGTAGAATGGGCTGGAGTCTGCAGAGGGGGAGGAGGGGGGATGAGGGGTGGGAAGGGGGGGTAGTGGGATGGGAATGAAAAGAGATTTTAGTAAGGGAAAGATAGAAATGTTATAAATGTTTATTTGTTTGAGAATTTTTTTCCCTTTTTGGGTTTTTGTATTAATATGAAAAATTTAATAAATATTTAAATTTAAAACAAAAAAAAAAAAAAAAAAAAAAAAAAAGATCATCATGGCCCTTTTGTATCCAGATGGTGCTGTGGCCCAAACCCCCAACCCAGATGCAGTGAGCCAGCTGCATGACAGGCATTTTTCTGATGCCATTCCTGGTACCTCAACCCAAAAGTCACCCCAAAAAAGATGTTGCATCTGTAGCAGACATGGATTAAGGCATGACACCTGCTTTTTTTGTCCTTCCTGTCCTTGCCAACCTGGTCTCTACTTCAAGGACTGCTTCCGTCGCTAACTTACACTAGTGGAGTATTAGTATAGGGTATAGCACGGCACATAGAGTCAGGTCCATAAATATTGGGACATCGACACAATTCTAACATTTTTGGCTCTATACATCACAATGGATTTGAATGAAATGAAACAAACAAGATGTGCTTTAACTGCAGACTGTCAGCTTTAATTTGAGGGTATTTACATCCAAATCAGGTTAACGGTGTAGGAATTGCAACAGTTTGCATATGTGCCTCCCACTTGTTAAGGGACCAAAAGTAATGGGACAATTGGCTTCTCAGCTGTTCCATGGCCAGGTGTGTGTTATTCCCTCATTATCCCAATTACAATGAGCAGGTAAAAGGTCCAGAGTTCATTTCAAGTGTGCTATTTGCATTTGGAATCTGTTGCTGTCAACTGTTGCTGTCAACTCTCTTTGCTGAAAATTTAGAGACCGATCTGCTGACAGCCTGAAGAATTACTGCTGCTCGGGGGGGGGGGGATCTGTGTTTCAGCAAAATGGCAGCCTACAGGAAGAAGAAACAGGAGCAATGTTGGAGGCAATTTACGGCATAATTGTGGTTGCATACTTATTAACATAGAATGTATGTTCCTTGCTAAAAAAGCATTTTTTTATCGAGTTGTTATCGGTAAAGTTCCGCTTTAATAAGATCTCCTTTAAATTAAATCTCTACATTGGCGGGAGATACAGCAAAAAAATGGCAGAGAGATAACAAGGATAAACACAGATTTAAACTATAGACCCTACAGTTGTTCCTCTGTTGCTAGGCGCCCTTTGAGTCCACAAGTGCTATTGGATACTGCAATAGTCAATCACAGACAGCTATAGAGAGATTCCCCAAAACTCAGCAAGCTGCACCAAAAAACAGGAAATGAGCTATACAGTAAGAACATGCATGCAGTACTTTTACAGTGGAAGAATCTCTTGATGTAGAATTGTAACCCACAGATTTCCTTTAAATTCATGTAGGAGAGCTTTGAACAGCAGTTAGCAATCTACACTATGACTACAAAGAAAAGTCAGCAAGGAATCTGTACACCATGTTGGATAGTTTTATTTGAAAACAGTGTGTTTGGACTGCTCACATTGGTCAATAGATGACAGCATAATGTATTTCCAGAAAGATTTATCCTAATAAAAAACCAATACATTCATCACATTTACTCAGCTGGCTCAGCCATTATGAAAGAAAAATGATTGCATTGCTCGTAACAGATGGGTACAACGTGCGTTTCCCCCAAATAACCAGGGAGACAAACACACAAGAATAGCTCAAAATAAAAAAATAAAAAAAAAAACTGTGGCTTCTTACCAGTATTTACAGTGATGCTGTTACCCACATGGCCATTACATTTCAGAATAAAACGCTTTATTGCCAAGTGCAGTTTTTTCTTTTTTGTAAATAAAACATGTCTCTTTATTTTGGTAGGAAAATTAGGCAGGCTATTTTCAAGATGTACAGGAACAAATATATAAAAAATCAAGTTAGGAAAACATTGCAATAACTTAATAGTTCATTGTGGTTTTATAGGTGTCAGGGAATGGAACAGAAATATGGCCTGATCCAGTGACCAAAGGAAGGATGCCAGCATTTGGGACAACATTCCAGGACAGAGTCAGTGTTATATTCCGATTACCCCTAGAAGAAAAAAAGATTACGAATATGAGAAACTACAGTTGCAACTATCAAACACAGCCTTACTTAACATTACAAGTGTTCAGGACGTTAATTTGGAAACAAGTTCCTGCTCACATCGATGGTGAGTGAAGGACATGAGTGGCACTGACAATTGATGCCAGCACTGTTTATGTCAGAGGGAACACCAAGGACTTATAACTACTCAGTCTACTGCTTCCCCAAAAGTAGCCAGCATGCATGGTTGGGGGACTACATCAGAATGCAGCACAATCTAGCTGACGGGAGATAAATTGGGTTATTAATTTGATGCTATGCATAGCAGAGAGAAAGCATTTCTCAAACCTGTCCACAAGTCCTACTAACGTGTTTTCTCCCATATGTGCCACAATTAGGAGCAGTGTTAATAGGTTCTCTAAGAACTACAGAACCTTGCCTCACTAGGTTAGGGAGAAAAGGAGAGGGGTGGGGTTCCAGAGTCCTATGATGTTTCTATTGTCCTGATACAGAATTGATAGTGAGTATTGTCTTCCTAGGACTGGAAATGTGTTAGTGGACATATCACCACGTTCAGATACTTTTTAACCACATAGTAATAGTAAACTAAGGTTTTCTAATCTGGTGATAATAAATAAAGACTGGCACAAAAAGCGATACTAAAAGGTTAATTTTTTTTTTTTATTTTAAATAACAAACATGACTATATTTACCTGCTTTGTTTAGCGGTTTTGCACAAAACAGCCTGGATCCTCCTCTTCTCTGGTCCCCCACAGGCTCTCCTGGCTCCACCTTTCTTTTGGGTGATCCCAGAGCAAGCAGCTTGCTATGGGGGTACCCGCTGTAACATGTCCATTCACATACGGAGACTTGGCTTGCCACCCCCCCCTCTCCTCATTGGCTGACTGGCTGTGATTGACAGCAGCGGGAGCCAATGAGGAGGCAGCTGTCATGCACTTTGCTGAATCTTGATAGGGCTTAGGTAAGTATTGAGGGCGCTGCTGGGAACAGCTGCACACAGGGTTTTTTTTACCTTCATGCATAGAATGCATGAAGGTAAAAAACCTAGAGCCTTTACTACAACTTTAAATATTTATTAATAGTTAAAGCAACATTGAACCCAAAAACAAAAATGTAACCCATTGCAGTTACCAATCTATAAATGCAGTGGCTACATTCATTTTCCATTTTGTTTAAAGACTTTTTCCCGTTATGTTCACCTGGTGACAGCCCATTTTCCTTTAATAAATCAACACCTTCCTGTCTTAAAGCAGTATTAAACCTAAAAGCAAACATTCATTATATTGCAGCTTATCAATTCCTAGATATGACGACTGCATTTCTTTTCTTTTTTATGCTTTCAACTCCTGATCTAGCCAGCAGCATGCTCTCCTACAAATGTAGCAGTTTAGAGTGTTGGGACAAATCATTTAGCACTAAGAGGGGTGCTTACTATGATGAGCTTTTATTTATTCATGTAAAACCTTTACTCAAAGAAAAAAAAAAAAAAAAAAAAACGTTGCTTGCGTAACTTCATTGTGAGCTGGGGTCTGCCTTTAATTTGTTAGTGTATCTAAATCTACTAGTACATCTAACACGCCCAACCTCTCAGATTAACAATATTGCTATCTGCTGTGCCCCATGTGATCCTTCATCCAGAGTGGGACACTAATACAGAAAGTGTGTTATTGGCCAGATCATCAGGTGAAAATAGGAGGGAATAAAAAGGTTACAAAAATAAATCGAATGCAGCCAGCACATCTAAAAGACTTGTAAATTGCAACATATTAAGATTTTGGTTTTGGGTTTAATACAGATTTAAGGAATCTCCAATCCACCTGAAGAGACATCTTTGCACAGCAGCGAAGTCAATCTCAGGAGGGGGTAGGGTTAGACACACTAGCAGATCAAAGCCAAACTCCTGTAAACACTTTTAAGCAGTTACAGCAACAGTTTCATTGCTTTGAGCCTAAAATAGTTACCGTATTTTTCGCTCCATAAGACGCACTTTTTTCCCCCCCAAAAAAAGGGGGGAAAATGTCAATGTCAGTCACCGACACCATGTCAGAATACCATGCTGGCCATTTGGCTCTTCTCTGCAGCAGGACCTTACCTGATCCTCAGTCCAGTCTTCCCGCGCCGGCATTTTTAGTGTGGGAAACCGGCTGTGACAGCCAGGTGCCCACTGCGCATGTGCGAGAAGCGCTGCGCTTTGTGAATGCCCGGCGTCTTCTCGTAGCGCTTCTCGTGCTTCCCAGCTGTCACAGCCCAGTGCCCACACTGAAGGGAGGACAACTCCGCGGAAGTGGGAGCGGGTACCTGTCAAATTCAGGTACCCGCTACTCCTCCCCCCCAGAAGTTCACAGTCTCTGGTGTACTGTCCGCAGTCTCTTGGTCATCCCCTGTACTGTGTCCGCAGTCTCTTGGTCATCCCCTGTACTGTGTCCGCAGTCTCTTGGTCATCCCCTGTACTGTGTCCGCAGTCTCTTGGTCATCCCCTGTACTGTGTCCGCAGTCTCTTGGTCATCCCCTGTACTGTGTCCGCAGTCTCTTGGTCATCCCCTGTACTGTGTCCGCAGTCTCTTGGTCTGTACTGTGTCCGCAGTCTCTTGGTCATCCCCTGTACTGTGTCCGCAGTCTCTTGGTCATCCCCTGTACTATGTCCATCCGCAGTCTCTGGTCATCCCCTGTACTATGTCTGTCCGGAGTCTCTGGTCATCCCCCGTACTATGTCTGTCCGCAGTCTCTGGTCATCCCCTGTACTATGTCTGTCCGCAGTCTCTGGTCATCCCCTGTACTATGTCTGTCCGCAGTCTCTGGTCCTCCCCTATACTATGTCTGTCCGCAGTCTCTGGTCCTCCCCTATACTATGTCTGTCCGCAGTCTCTGGTCCTCCCCTATACTATGTCTGTCCGCAGTCTCTGGTCCTCCCCTATACTATGTCTGTCCGCAGTCTCTGGTCCTCCCCTGTACTACGTCCGCAGTCTCTGGTCCTCCCCTGTACTATGCCCGCAGTCTCTGGTCATCTCCTGTACTATGCCCGCAGTCTCTGGTCATCTCCTGTACTATTTCCGCAGTCTCTGGTCATCTCCTGTACTATGTCTGCAATCCATTGGTTCAGAATATTTTTTTTCTGGTTTTTCTCCTCTAAAACCTAGGTGCGTCTTATGGTCAGGTGCGTCTTATGGAGCAAAAAATACGGTAATCATAAATGGATAAAAGCTGACCATTTTAAGCACCCCATTTAACAGCTGATCTCAACACACTGCCACTTTTCCTGGACAGCTTGGATTGTTACAGGAAGTTAAAAAATAGCAGACTTGTTAGTCAGAACAGGTGTAAACAAAAGAAACACAAAAAGCAAACTAATATGACCACCACGAGCACAGATAATAAAGCTCCTGTTTTTTTTTGTTTGTTTCTGCATTATACATCATTCAAAGCTGTATATAAAAGGCAACAGCAGTATATCAATACTGCTCACATTTCCCTGTGTGGTTTGTTTGCATTCATTTAGAAGTTGCATTTAGCTACAGAATAAAAAAAAAAACAAAACAAAACAATAAAATGCTTTTTCTGTTATTTAAGACTCGTATGTCATTTTTTACATGCCCTCTATATCACTACTATACTGATGGGAGGAGCCTATAGGTCACTTATCTATTTTCCCGATCATTCGTTTCATATTTCAACAAGTAACACCATGCTTGTTCAGAAATGCGAAGTACAAGGAATATCAAATAATGATAATTAAACAGCGCCACATTAAAGTACTTCTGACATCCTGATCTTGTACAGAACCCTTCCTTCTGTCACCACAAATCAATCACTAAACTTTCTGGCGCCAATGAGTAAACAGAAATCAGCTTTTTCTGTCAGCTTTCACCTTATAAATTTTATCTCTTGCATTCGCTTCTTGGGGAGAGCACAACTTAATAAAAACAATATATTTTTTCCAGATGCTTACTTCAGGCCGTTTCCATCATCGAAGAAAAAATACTTTGATTTCATCTCCTTTAAAGACAATTTTGGGTTATCACCCCGGAGGATGATTTTGTCCCATAGCACAACCTGGTTTTAAAGCCTAAAATGAAATCAGCAAGACATTCAGCATTAATATTTCACAGATTTTATGACAGTGCATACAAATAATCATGCATATTAGTAAAGTAAAAACTGTGATCAATATTTTAATATAAGGTTTAAACCAAAATACCTAATACTAAAGTTATAATTTTCAACAAATATGTGCACAGTACAAAATAAAGGTCCAAGTGCTGTTTAACCCCTTCCCACCGACCATACGCATATATGTGGCCGCACAGAACTGGGCCTTTTCCTGTGGGGCCGCATATATAAAAATATCTGTCTTTGTGCTAGCAGAGCGCTGCACAGCGTGCTCCCAGTACAAACACCAGGCTGTAACCACTCAATGTTTTGGGTCGCCTGATCGCTGTTGGCTATCACAGCGATCAGTCACTGTGAAACTCTGCCTGTGTTTTTTTCCCCTCTCTGCATAGAGGGATAGATACAACACATCTCTCTCTCCTTGCAGAGAGAACTAATTTTTTTTAAAAAGCATTTTTAAAATTATTATTAGTGTCAGTTACTGTCAGTGTGTTTTAGGTAGGATTTAAAAAAAAAAAAAAAAAAAAAAAAAAAAAAAAAAAAAAGCAAAGTGTGCACTATTGTTTTGGGGCCCTACTACGGGTACAAACAACAAATAACACAAACATATGTGGTATTATTGCAACGGCTAGGAGTAGGATAATTTATTTTGGGTTGTTCTTTGGTGGTAGGTTTCAGTTGTAGCAGGAAGTATGCAGCTAACATTTTTTACTATTTTGGGCCAGTTTTCCTTTGATAAAAAAAAAAAATGGAAAAAAAAAAAAAAATAAATCAGGAGATATCGGTTACCATTTATCACCAAAAGAAAGTCCAAATTGTCCTGAAAAAACAAGGTATAATCCACCTGGATGCACAAATTAGTTGTGATGATATGTACAGTTTAACATATCAAAGTTGCAAAATTGTGTTCAGGCATTAAGGTTTGTTTTATCCTCAGTCACTAAGTGGTTAAAATAGTTAAAACACATTCTGCCCACAATTTTATTGGGTTTATAGATTATGTTACCCCAACATTTTATGTTCCTGCTGTACCATGTACTTGTATGAAAAAGCATCCTGTTCCCTTTCTATTGTTTCTCTTATATGAAATATCTGGTGATCCTGCTAGTCCCTCTGCTTTCCTATTGACAGCACAGCATGGTCAGTTTTTTTTTGCTGTGCTGAGAACTCAACCTGCTCTCCTCCAATGATTACACTTGTGCTGACACGACCCCTGTAAAGCCATTCACTGGGAAGACCAGTGTGCTGTTTCTCCTCCCCTAGCTCTTGGAATTCTTTATGCATCTGAGAAAAGAGGGCTTATGAACAAAAAAAAAAGGGGGGGGGGATATATTTACAATTTTTTTTAATGTTGAATTCTAAACCAAAATGAGACTTTTTAAAATAGAATGCCAGCAAATCCCATTTTTTAGTATTTGATACAGTAGAGACCTCTATCAGGTTCTTATTGATGTTTTCATCTTTCCTGGGAAGAGTTCCCCTCCCATCCTGTTTTAGTGCCTCTGTGTGCTGTGACCTGCCCTATAGCGTAGTAACATGGTAGTTAACTGAAAGGGTTTCAGTGGCTGTAGAGCCAAAATCTTTGCTTCAGAACTAAACTGCTGCTAAAGAGTCTTATTAAGAACGTAGGGTAAAAATTGGAAAGTCCTTTCAGAATAATTTCATATATACATGTATATTTTTTTTAGAAATGTAAAAAGCTCATAGATTGGCATGGGTTGTATCCTTTGAGTTTACGGAGACAGATTTCAGCATCAGGAGGCAGTATATTTCATACAATAAGCTATATGTTATAAAAAAGAATCCAACACAAAAGTTTGCTGAGTGATAGGGTATAGGGTATAGAAGATTAAAACCTCTGTAAGGTTTTTCAGTTGCCATCTTTGATAGCCCAGAGTGAAGCTTAACATCAGGATGGTGCAATTCTATAGCACATACAGTATGTGGAAATGGTATCATTACATGCCACCCTATAGTTAAGGGAGAAGGCACAGGAAAAAAAAAAAAAAAAGGAGAAGCTTTAACCTCCCTAGCGGTATGATTATATCCATATTTCTGTGCTGAAAGCGGTACATTTTTTTGCATGGAAATATGTATTTTTTTTTATTGTAGGCCTGTAATTTTTAGGAAGAACTCACTGAAATCTGTCCAAACAAGAGTCTAGTAAACATTCCGGGTATGATAATACTTGAAACACAAAATCATAAATTATAATTTAATAAATTATCATAAAAATAATATAATAAATTTAATTCAATAAATTAATCAAACCAAAAACACTGAAATTTGAAATATAGCGCCAAGTTCGCACATCGCTGAGCAAAGTCGCAAAATTGTTTTCAGTGTCTGATGACGAATTTCCCCACAAATCATTATCACTCAATTCTGCAAGTGGTTCTGATTTACTATCGCTGTTCTCTAGCTGGCCTAAAACCACTTTTGACCAAAAGGGACGCCATGGACTTTTCTAAGTTTCCAGGCAGAAAGAACAGTCAAAATGCAGGCAGGGCGCAGGACAAAGCAGTAGGGACAAATTGTATGTGAAATGGTTTGATACAGTAATGTTTTACTATGCCAAATTCATTTATTTGAAAATGACAGTTTCTAAAAATTTTTAAATTTGCTGCCGTTCCAGCCCCCGTACATCCCGACGCTCGCAGGGACCGGAACACAGAAGCCGGATGCCGGCATCAGTCGGGGACGCATTGCCGGAGTGAAGGACAAGGTAAGCGCTGCAGGGAATCCCGGAACAGCGCTGCATGGTAAGCCCGAGTGTACCTCAGGGGTTACCGCTTTTGGTACTGAAACTTTACCCCGAGCTATACTCAGGAATACCACTAGGGAGGTTAAACAAATATGGCACCAGTGGCTGTGGAGCAGCAAGAGAGCACAGAACTGCATTGGGGGAAACAAAAGCAACCTGGAGGCAAGTTTTGCCATAATGTTGCAAGCATGCTTTAGTTCCATTTTAGCTCGAACAGGTAGTGAGAATACTTCCTGTTGGGGATACTAACAGCAATAAAGGAGATGTTCTAACACTTCCACACTCTATTCATCTTCCTTTACTTTCTTGTATACACAAAGACAAGAAGCAGTAATAAGGCTGGGTATAGATAGTTCGTTTATTGGCTGAAGGAGAAAAAAAAAAAAAAAAAAAAAAAAAAAAACACACAAACAAAATGGAATCCCCCATCCACACATTCAAGGTAGATAGAGGAATCCCTCCCGCCAGGGCATTGTATTCTAAACAGTGGAACTCTCAGTTGTCAGAAAACACTGATCAGAGGCTGCAACCACTAATTGATGAACATTTTACAGCAAAATCTTTCAACAGATGTTGGTCTAGCAATCGACTTTTGTCAAACAGGGAGGGTCTAAATTCAGCTAATCCCTAATGAACTGGTCAAATTTTGATCTATCTGTACCAAAGCCTTGGTTTGTGGAATAAAGTCTGCTCTTATACAAGCGTGCATAAAGTAAAAAGTTTGATAAACACTGCTCTTTAATGTACAATAGACAAAGTATTGAAGTGATACTAGTCAGATAAGTATTAATTGCCATATTCCATTCATCATATATAGTATGCTGCTGTATATTGCTTTCCTCAAAGTTCCTTTGTGCTGCCACGCAGCTTTACTGTTTAGCAGTTGTTATTTACATGTTATATTATAATGTTATTTGGTATCATCCACACACCCCTGCTGTTTCTGACTAGTTGGTTGCTTCCACCTTCATTTCCTGTTGTAACACCATTTTAGTTTAGTGGTTATCAAGATGCTGTAGAGTGAGGAGGCTATGTGACAGCACTGGAAATTTACCTATGAAAACACCTTTATGTTCACACCTTTGTTACCTTGAAGTATAAAGAAGCATTGGAAAATACCTCTGAAGTTGTTATTCATTGAGTAAACTATCTGTTAAGGCGATCATTCAACTTGCTGCACACATTCTGACAGACTGGGTCTAAACGAATCTCGCCACAAGTACAACCGATGCCAAGACAGAACAGTAAATTTCCAGTAAATCTCAATGAGAATCCATCACACAGCCATCTCTGCAGCTTCAGAACTGTGAGTAACCATTCTCCTGTATGAAGAACAGTAATCTTGTCTGTGCACTGAGTGAAGCATTCAGTGTGAGCCAGGCTGCTGCTCTAGCTGCCTCATTGCAATAGACATTCAGCTCCCCAGCTCAGCCTGCTTGCAAATAAAAGTAACTACTTACAGAGCTGAGCTTCTGCAGATTTCCAACAAGACACTAAAACTACAGCACTTGTCATTATGTCTGACAGAGATCCCACTGATGAGTCACCTGCATGTAATCAAGATAAAACAGACACCATGCTGCATTCTGCCCGTCCTGTTAGAGCCCCTCATCCATCTTTGAAGGCAAGGGAGGCTTATGATGCAAGTAAGGGACATACAGTAACCTGACTGCATTTATGGGAGAAAACTTTAAGTTGTATAACAGCCAGTAATGAAACTAGCAACAATTCTGAGCAATTGAACACTGCCCTCTCAAGGGTTAAGAAGGCATTTGAGAATTATAAAAGACTTTCTGAAAAGTACTCTTCCCTTTTGTCACATTCCAATGTAGAGGAAGCTTCAATAGAATTAAAGAACTTTATTTCTACTGACCAGCAGAGACATACCACTTATCTTGAAGCAAAGACACAGATAGAGGGTAGATTAGCACAACTACATGAAACTACATCCTGTATATCTGCTTCTTCCAGACACTCAGGAAAATCAAATAGATCTGCCCGCTCATATCATAAATCATCTTCTAAGTCATTGTGGTCCTGCTCTGTAAGGTCAACACTGAGCGACCAAATACTCAAAGCTCGCCAAAAGGTTGCAGTAGCCCAGGTTCAAGCCACCTGTACTGAAAGAGAAGCAGCCTTCAAGGCAGAAGCTAAATGCAAGGAAGCAGAAGCTAATGCAAGGAAGCAGCCTT